TGAAAACTCAGTATTTGGGTGCAAAACGTGTGTTGTCCCACAATTTTCTTCACGCGACTGGCACCTGTACAATATAACGTGTTATAATATGGGTGTTGATATGCGAAAACTGGGCAGACACCTTTAACCTGGTTTTGAGTTATAACACTTTGAATTTTGCATAACAACCATAAAAAATTTGGATCTGATGAATTATAAGGTTTAGAAAAGAGTCCAATTTAACTGACAAATATTTTTAGAGCTCTTCAGATGATACTCTGTATGCTTAAGAAGTATGATATGCATTAAAGGAAATTTCTTGCAGTTGTAGATTTGCCCAGTTTTTGCATATCAGCACCCATATAGTGTATATCCTTCCCGGGGCGGCGGGTAGGGCTGTTGGCGGCAATGGGACACCAATGACAAACTACGGTGATTGTTTATTTATTATGCTGACTAAAACTAACTAACTTGACCGGTCCGTAGAGGGTTTTTAGAGCGCGCTGGTGCCTTCGTGATGGGTCCCGCCCGCACTGTTTTTCTAGTTCTTAGGATGTGCCTTCTAGGGGAGGGGGGGGGGGGGCGCACTCTTAGTTAGGATATGTGATGCTGTGTGCGAGTGCTCTTATATGCGCAGTATGATACTGCGGTGCGGAGGTCTGCGTGCTCGCACCGCGCTGTTGATCGGGTGCCGTGAGTGAGTGGTATATACTAAGTAGCCTGTACGATATTCGTGTGTTTATAGATTCGATAGCGCCTGGTGCACTGCGGGTGAATATCATGCTCGTATCGGGTCCAAGTTTACAATATCATACCTCTCGGACGGTGCCCCCGGTCTACGCCCACCTGTAAACCTCACAGATAGCATACACTAGCGACCTCGATGAACTTCGTCAATTCTGTCCGTCACCCCATCCATTCAAACCCCCCCCCCCCGCTTCTTTCCTTCCACCTCCTCCTACACTCCCCATAAGCAATAGATAGCAATAGCTGGTATCCTAACATTACAGACATTCACTCTGTACCCATCCACAAATCAACCAAAAATAGGGATAGACGAAGAGATGGTGTATAAAAAATAAAATAGAATAAAAAAGACGAGGAACAGAAGGGTTTCTTTCTCAGACAGACAACGGGTTAGGCTTTAATGACAAGGAAACAAAGGAAACAGACAGATAGATTGCTCAGAACCAACTCCCCGGGGATAGGTAGATGGAATAGAGCACAAGCAAGGAAGCACGAGAGGGGCAGGCAAACAGACAAGATGGGGCGTAAGACGGATACGATAGATAGGATAGATATAAGAACGGCACAGCATAGCTAGCCAGCCCGGCACACCACCTCTCACTTTCTCACTCGCTCGGAATAAAAATCACTTTCGTTGACAATAGTAATGAACCCTTTTCCTTCCTTCTTCCTTTCCACCCTAGGCTTCTCGCTCTCTATTCCATCCGGCTTCTGACCCTTCCTGGCGACAGATCTGATCCAACACAATCCAGCTCGAAATCTTGACAGTCGATTCAACTTGTTGTCGGTCGATAAAAGATTAAATAGCCCCCGGGGGATTGCCATTCATCTGCTCTTCAATCAATCCAGTGAAGTGGGTAGGGTAGGGCTGGCGCCGCATTATCGGAACATAAGAGGGAGAACACGCCAAGTCAAGAGCAAGATATGTAAGGCACTTTAAACGGGAAAAAAAGAGAACACCTCCCGCCAAGAATTTGCTTTAAGGAGAATACACCAGGCCCAGTAGGAAAGGACAGCAAGGAAAGAAGACCAAGAAAGGTTCAACAGGCCCGGAACATATCCGCAAAAAGACAAATTCTGTGACAACAAAAGCCGAAAGAGTATGAAATACAAGGAAAACAGGGCCTAAAGGCGAAGATGAAGATTGTGAGAAACCCGAGCACTAAAAAAAAAAGTTAAAAATAAAGTAAAAGAACACCTTTTTTGACTCCCTATTCACTAGTAAATTGCTAGAAAGACCTCCGAAATCCCTACCCCCAATAGTAGACTATAGATAGAGAAGATTTCACATGACGCAAGAAAGAAAAAGAAAAAAAGCCGAACTATAGATCAAAAAGCAAGAGGATTAGGAAAAGGCGACAACAGTGAGCAAGGATCCAGACATTAAATCTCGTCAGACTCCTCCGCAGAGTAGCCTATGGCTTGCCATCCCAACAGAAGTTAATAGATATTCGGTTCGAAGGTGCCGGGTCGCCGTGCTAATGGTGAGCTGAAAGAGAAGGAATTGTTTTCGAGGTATCTAATGGCCCGAAGGAAGAAAAAAGAAAAAAGAAACAGAGTCGAATAAGAGGTTCTCTTTTTCCATCAATTGAGAGGAACGAGGTTCAAGAGAAACGATTGCGGGTGTGATGAGGCATTGCATGAGCTCCGTCGCAGCTTGAATCCCTGCCATGTATCTAGCAGATGACGCAGCAATTAGGTCCATTCGCTATTGGTGCGTATGGATCTTCACGTTTATCCACCTGTAATTTGGGCGAGAAAGAAAAGAAAAAAAGTTAGAACCCGTCTCAATAGTGGATACACGTGGTGTTGCTATCAACCAAGGGGCTGAACGAGCTGTGCAACAATTGCATTTGGATAACGCGTATCCCTGTGTGAAGATAACCATGATGAACGAGAGCTGAAGGAAAAGGACGAAAACTCACTTGACCCCATGTAGAAGGAACCATAAAGTCCTTGGTATTGCGTGTGTGGGCGATCATACTAAACCAGTGCTATTAGTGGAGGATCGCAATAGTGAAGAGCGACAAGGCGAGAGAATAAAAAGACGCGATACTGCGTAGAGGATGCTGGTTCAAAATATCTGATGGAAAAGAGGCTCTTAAATGAACGCGGTAGGGTAATAGGAGGAGCAAACATACGAGTGGCACGCCTCAGAAACCTTTACTCGCGGTCTGTCCAGATCCTCCCTCAGCCTTGCATTCAGTTCTGTTAACCGCCTCAATTTCAGCTCGGCCATAGTCTGCTTCTTCTCCCTGACAGCCCCGGTGGAATGAATGGCCATTTTGCCGTCGGATTATGATATTATCGGATAAAGTTGATGAGGGTCGACCTGCTTCCGAAAGAATGGTGTTCTTCGGAAGAACGAAGGAAACGGACAAGTTTTGTGTTTGTTCCGACCAAAGGGGGTTGAATCTCGTCAAGAGGCGCAGTCGGGTAAACGATTGCGGAGAGGGAGGCGCAGAGCTGAAAGCAAAGGGCGAGAGAGTGTGTGAAAGGAAGCCCGACGAGAAGAGATGAGCAGATGAGAGGGAGGGCGAAGAAGGAGAGGTCGAGGTCGATTAGGTCGGAGTAAAGACTGAGGATGGAAGCCTTCTCGAAGAGATCCTTCCTCCTCTTCTTCTTCGTTGAAAAGGGGGGTGTGTGGAGGGGGTGGTGGTTGAGTGTTGATGTTGGATAGGTAGCAACGGGGGTGTACGGCTGATGAAAGCGAGAGGATGAGGAGGAGGAGTAGGCGGTACGGTAGGGAAGAGAGTGCTTGGGCTAGTTTGCTTTGCTTGGTTGGTGGAAGTGTGGGAAAAGAAAGGAGAGAACGAAGTGTCGGTACCGCGACGGCCAAGCGTGGACTGGGGGGAGGAATAATAGGGAATGAGGGCTGGTGGAGAGGGGCCGCGCAAAGGGGGACACAAACGGTTACCGTAATTCAGTAGGAGCGAGGAGAAAGGGAAAAATAAAATAAAAACAGGGTGGACAGAGCTTCTTCTTTTTTTTTTTTTTTTTTTCCTTCTCGCCCTTCTCCTCTCACCCTTAACCTCTATCTGTGTGTGTATATATACGATGTATATATATATTTTTACCGTACTATTCCTCTCGCTCTCGAAACGGTTAGACTCCGATATTTCTTTCAGAGTTCACCGTAAAAACGTAGAGCAATCAATCAGAAACGCCGAAAGAGAAAACGGGACACCGGCACCGTTACGGGGCGATATACGGTAGGCTAACGGACCGGACACGATATCTTCGGGGCCGGCGAGAAGGATGGATGAATGGACGATGCTCTGCTCAGCTCCGGATGCGATGAGACTCTCCCGAGATAACTGTGAGTAATTTGTCACTGCAGGTGTTGGTTACTTGGATAGAGGTCCTTTGGTGTTGTTGATTGCGGAGGGGGAGGAGCCAGGTAAGTTGGTTATGGTACGAGTGCCGGTACCGGTATGGGAGGGTACAAGTACCGCAGGGCAAGTCAGCAGAGAGGAATGAAGTACCGTACAGTACCGGTGATCGACTCCTCGATCAACCAAGCAACGCAAGCAGAGCAAGCAGGAAGCGGCCGAGAGCTCCCAGACCCAAACAGTTATCTTTTCTCAGGGGTGTTTGACAACCCTACTACTGCACCTTGGAGGCAAGGTAGGGCAAGGCAGCAAGCGAAAGTTAAGGAATCGGACGGCTTGCCAACATTCCCTTTCTTGGGCACTGAAGATACTCTGGATGTAGGGAACCAAGCTGTGCTGCACAGCGCGGTACAGGTTGCTCTGAACTGAAGGAGACGAGACGGGATGTGCGCAGGCTGCAGTGGAGCATAAGTGGAAAGTGGAAAGGGAAAACAAAAGAAAAGGAAAGAAGAAAAAAATAAAAAATATGGGCTTCACAGATGGTTCCACCAGTCCGGAAATGGAGTTTTTTTCGTGCAAGGGTGTGTGCTCAGCGAATACCGCATTACCCTATCTACCGCCCCCGACCTTGATATGATGCCAGTCCAGTACTTGTGGCATACAGGCACTCCAGTCATCACGAATTTCGGAGATATCCAAACACCCGGCCCCAAGGATCTGCATTCTCGGTGGACCTTGGCATCACCCTACAAGTAAGGTGTCGGGATGCTTATGAAATTGGCGAGTGTGATACAGAGGAACAGAACCAGAAAACCCGTGATGAAGCCGTGCTCCTCACTACCCGAACCCACTTCACAACCCCATCCTTCCGTCCCATCGATCAAGCAAAATGTTAATTCGGACGCAACCACGATGGAAAACAGCATGCACCCCGACTCCCTCTCCAATCCCTTCCGGCTCTAGCCCCCTATCCGCATCGCACTGCAAGCTCACCCCATCCATTCCAAAGCAAATCGCTTCATCACCATAATACGCGAAATCATGGGTAGAGTGTCCGTACAATACTCGAGCAGTATTGCAACTCAGCGCTGTGACACAGCTAGTGGAGAATTCCGGATCTTGCGCTTCCCTTATGCCACGCAGACCAGAAGCGTCGAGGCAACAATCCCTCCCTGGCGGTTTAGGGTAGCCATACCGGTACTCTGTGCTGGAAGGGTATACCGGTAGTACCCGTTATCCAGCAAGGAGCAGCCGGCAACGGAGATCCAAAGGATGTGTTACCGGTGTTATCATACCGGTAGCCCACGAAACGCTACGAGTACGAGTACAACGGCTTCTATAAGGCCAAAAACACTGAGAATTCCCCACCAAGAATTTAGCTGTACCCAAATTACCCGAACGTGTCGGAGGCCTATCGAACCACCATCGCGCACTCGATAAATGGTCACTAAACCTCCAGAGCGTTCAGATTGCCTCATTCTGGTGTAGCAACGGCTTATTAGGGACAGCTCTTCCACTCATCACTAGAGATGTTGTCAAAGGGTTCCCCTTGAATGAATGAGAAATCCTCCCCATGCATGTGAGATGCCGCCAGCATGCCGCCAGCACTCGGCCAGCCCTCCATTTGGTTGCCAGGATAATTGGAGGAATCACGGATCATGAATCCTGGACACCATTATAGCACTGGGCCTTCGGGTTCTCTAGAGAACTGAGCCTTGTCTCTACGTGAGATCGTGAGCTATCTTCCTACTGTACGGGCACTTGAACAGGGATCGATATCACCGATTGGTGATGATGTTTCTTGTGATAGGAGGTTGTAGATTTTGATACACCGACGTGCACGTACCATATGGTCTTATTCCCGTCCGCGGGGTTGGCGATCGAGGTTACTTGGGCGTTTCGGTTTCGATCTGAGGGACAGGGTGATGAAGATACCAATGGGAATTTGTCGTTGATAACTACTGCTACACGCCCGTGCTGGTGCTGGTTCCGTACTCACAAAACATGATTTGTTGGGTTTATTCCCTCCCCCCTTTCCTGGCCCGCTTTTCCCAGTGATATTCTGTGATTTGATAGTCTTGGCGGATGCCTCGCGCACAAAGCTTTTGTGCCCTGGTAGCCCTTCTGTCAGCAGTCACACTCCACCCCCCTTGCCGCCTGCCGGGAGAAAAAAGAAAAAAGGAAGGTAAATAACCTTATTAGTAGATAGGGTTTCCGCTTTAGGAAATACTGGGCATAGAAAAAACTGATCTCATATTGCACTCCAAATTAACGATCCTCCCCACTCCAACTTCACGACCCTCGACGACTACTGAGTTAATCCTATCGGTGATTTCTTATTGCTACGATTTCATATCTGCGACTCCTGTTGCGAAATTGCCTTTCACTCAAAACAGCGGCCGGCTGGCTCTGATTTACGAAAATGCCTCCACCTCCTCACGCGAAGCCTGAGAATATTCTCAAGGTTTGTCGGCGTCCTTGCGCCCCGCAATCATGCCCCCCTTCTGCTGTTTGTTCTATGATAGATCCAATGCAAATCTAACCCTTTTCTCAAATTTTATAGCGAGCCCAAGAGCTTGTTGCCGTCAACAAGAATTTGAGTGCTCTTGAACTTCTCCACGAACATGTTACGGCCAAAAGATCGCGACTTTCACCCATCGCTTCACTGGAGCCTGTCATGGTGCTCTTTGTGGAGCTCTGTGTCAGCCTCAGAAAAGGAAAGACGGCAAAGGACGGGCTGTATCAGTACAAGAATATCGCCCAGAATAGTAGTGTCCAGACGATTGAGGTTCGTGGATGGCCTTGCGACTCGTCCTTATTCGACGATGTATATGACTGATTGATGCTGTATAGATGGTTCTTCGTAAATTCATCGAACTTGCCGAGACAAAGGTTACCGAAGCCCAGGAACGGGCGGAGCAAATCACTTTGGATGCAATCGATGACCTCGAGGCCTCCGAGACACCAGAGTCTATCCTCCTCTCCACGGTTTCCGGCGAACAATCCCGGGATCGAACGGACCGGGCCGTTGTCACGCCATGGTTGAAGTTTCTTTGGGAGACTTACCGTACTGTCCTCGACATCCTCCGCAACAATGCGCGACTTGAGATTATGTATCAGAGCACGGCCCTGCAGGCGTTTCAATTTTGCTTGAAATATACCCGGAAGACCGAATTCCGGAGGCTCTGTGAACTTCTCCGAAACCATGTTCAGAATGCTGCGAAATACTCGACTCAGATGCACGCCATCAACCTGAATGATCCCGATACCCTCCAGCGCCACCTTGATACCCGCTTTCAACAACTCAACGTTGCGGTCGAACTTGAGCTGTGGCAGGAGGCTTTCCGCTCTGTGGAGGATATCCATACTCTCCTCAATCTGAGCAAGAGACCTGCCAAGAACATCATGATGGCCAACTACTACGAGAAGCTGACTAGGATCTTCTTGGTTTCCGACAATTATCTTTTCCATGCCGCGGCCTGGAGCAGGTACTACAATTTGCTCCGGACTAGCGCTGCTCAGGTTGCTGCGGGGCCTGCTTCGGCGAAAAAAGACTTCCCCGCTGCCTCCGATGCAGATCTCTCGCGCGCAGCTTCTCTCTATCTCCTTGCTGCCCTTTCCATCCCGGTGATCAGTCAGGCCCGATCCAAGGGTGCCCTTCTCGACGTCGATGAAGCAAAGAGAAACAAGAATACCCGCTTGACGAATCTCCTCGGCATGGGTAGAGCACCTACCAGAGCTGCCTTATTCAAGGATGCGATTAGCAAGGGCGTCCTTAGGCGTGCTAGACCGGAAATCAGGGATCTGTATACTATCCTTGAGGTTGATTTCCATCCTCTAAGCATTTGCAAGAAGATCTCCCCTATATTGATTCAGGTCGCTGCGGAGCCCGATATGAAGCCCTATGTTGTCCCTCTTCAACAGGTCATCCTCACTAGACTGTTCCAACAGCTCTCTCAGGTTTATGACACCATTCAACTGAGCTTTGTCATTAACCTTGCGTCCTTCCCCGAGCCATTTGAGGTTACTCCTTCTATTATTGAGAAGTTTATCATGAACGGGTGCAAGAAGGGTGATTTGTCGATTCGTATTGATCATGCCGCGGGTGTTCTCACATTTGAGTCCGATATATTCTCGTCCACCAAGCCCTTGCACCCTGGCTCGGTGATTGGATCAGCCGAAAGGGAGACGGGTTCTGTCCAGAAACTCCAGAGCACCCCCTCGGAGATTGTTCGTAGCCAACTCTCTAGACTCGCAAAAGCACTCTATCTCACCTGCTCACATGTCGATCCCGATTTCCAACGGTACCGTTTGGAGGCCAAGGCTGTGGCCTATGCCAGGGCCCAGGCCGGTGCTCAGGAGGAGCACGAGGATACACTTGCTCGACGGACCATCATCGAGAAGAAGAAGGAGGCTGCCGAGAGCGCTCTCCTTAAGAAGGAGAAAGAGGAGGCCCAGCAACGTCTGATTAGAGCGGAAGAAGCCCGCGCTGCAGAGGCCGCTCGTGCTGCAGACCAACAGAAGAAACGCGAGCTGGAGAGAATGAGGCAGGAGCAGGAGAAGATTCGGAAAGAGGAACTCAAAAAACAACTGGACGAGCTTTCACTTGATGCTAAGATTGATGTCGAGAACCTCGAGGATCTTGATAGCAGTCAATTGAGAGCGATGAAACTCGCCCAGTTGGAGAAGGAGAAGAGGGAGATGGCCTCGAAGCTCAGGATAACTGGGAAGAGGATTGACCATCTTGAAAGAGCGTTCCGTCGTGAGGAGGTTAATGTTTTGCCCGAGGACTTGGAGAGGCAGAGGGCAGATGATCTGGCTGCGTATGAGAAGAAGAGGCGAATTACCCTCGAAAATTCCAAGAGACAACACGAACAGGCAGTTGCGCTAAAGAAGCGGCTTAGTAGGCTTGTGCCTATATATGAGACTTTCAGGGAGGAGATTAAGCAACAGAGGCACCAGGAATTCGAGTCAAGACGCAAGTCTGCCCAGAAGAAGCTTGAGGCTGAGATGGAGAAGCGACGCCGGGATATCCGTGCTGCTAAGGAACGGGAGAGAAAGGAAGCGGAGGCCGCCGAAAGAAGAAGGGTGGAAGAGGAGGAGAGGGTACGCAGAGAGGAAGAGGAGAAGGTCCGGAAGGAAGCGGAGCTGCGTGCTAAGATGGCGGAGGATAAGGCAAAGCGTGAAGAGGAACGGAAGTAGGCTAACTTTTACTCCCTGGTTATCTGGGGTGATTATACTAATTCGCGCTGTAGGAGACTTGACGAGATGGCCGCCAAACAACGCCAACGTGAGCAGGAAGTCGAAGAACGCAGGATCCGTGAGAGAGCAGAGCGTGAGAATCCCAGACGAGCCGCCCCCCACGAAGAGGCGCCTGCCACAGAAGTGCCAGGATCTCGACCCTGGGCTGCCGGCCCCAGGGCTGGCGGTTGGCGTGATCGTGAGCAGGTAAAGAGGACCGGCGATTCCGCACCTCTTAACGGAGCCAGGGATAAGGAAAGGGACGGAGATAGCGCCAACGCATCCCCAGCGCCTGCTGGCGAGCGCAAGAAGCTGAACCTTGCTCCGAGGACTCTTCCGAGGGAGGATTTCCCAGTGCCACCTCAGCTCACCGAGCGTACTGCCGAGCGTGGGGCCTCTCCGTCTCAAGACGCCGCCGCACCGAAGCCGAACGTTTATAGACCCCCTCCTCTCAGCGGCCGTACACTCCAGCCTGGCCGCCCCGCTTCCCCAGCCAGCGGTGGAGAGGCTGACAGCTCGAAGGTCGAGAAATGGGTTCCACGCCACCGTCTCGGGGGAGCCAGAAAGGAGGGTGAGAGTAGCGAGAGGAGGGGCGGCGGAGGTGGTTGGGGGTCAAAGAACTAAGCCGCTGTAGTGTACTTTTGTTCTGTTTTTTTCTTTTCATCTTTCTCACTAGGGGTATTGGGGGACCAACATCGAGTTTGGGGGAAAGGCGGGGGGTAGAAAAGCATGATGGAGCTACCATGTAACGTATTGAAAAGGGGTGGTTGCTGTTTTTCCCCTTTCCTCTCCTTTTCTTTCCTTTTTTCTTTTATTTTACGAATCGCTCATTTCTTATGTTGGTGATTGAGATATGAGTCTCTCTGGGTTGAAATGAAATGGAATGAAGTGTAGTGGTGGCGGTGCTGGGCCGATTGATGAGGCTTTGGTTTCCTTTAATTTTTTTGTCAATTATGGTCCACCGATTGATTTGCGGAAAACTTGACACTGCTCTTTCTCCTCCATGTTATTTTTACTATCTATTTTCTAAAAGGTAGACTATAGCTGTTGCTAGAATCCTCAACTAACCGCACCGGCATCAAACGGTATGATGATGCCACCTTGTGAATCAAAGGGAAACAAAAGAGGAAAAGGATTCATGAATTCTCACTCGTGCTACAGTATATACACCCAAAACCCAAATCTAACGCAATCCACGGGCACTATCAATTCAATCCCCAACCCTACCTACCTATTTGCACTCAAGACATCCCCCCCCCTCCCTCCTCCTCCTCCTCCCCGGGCATTCCCCTCCCCCTCCCCTTCTCCTTCTCCCCCACATGCCCCTCCACATGCCCCAACCCCCTCCCCGGCTCAACCAAATCCCTAACAGCCCTCTTCAACCCCTTAACCTCCGGAAACCCCCCATCCAACTTGCGATCCCACAGAACCTTCGTCACCGCAACCTGCCCCCCTTCCCCTTCCCCCATCATGAATATCTCTATCGTGAAGATTCCGCCGGTGGCGGGGCGGAGGGATACCTCGCCGAGGGTTGGGAAGGTACTTAAGAGTTCTTGGGCGAAGTAGGCGGCTCCTGGGGGGGGGGTTTAATATATATATACATATGTGTTTTGGTTAGATGGGATGGGATGGGATGGGATGGGGGAAGTAAAGGAAGGAAGGAAGGGAGAAAGGTTATCGTACTCAGGAGCCATTTGCATTGGGTGCAATAGGTTATCGTTATCTTTGGATAGTGTATTGGTGGTGATGGTGGCATTTTTATTTTATTTATTTATTTTTGATTTGTATCTTTCTTTTTTTTCTTTGCGGGGTTGTGATGAGCGTGAGGGGTGAGGCTCAAATGGTGGGGTTAAAGTTGCTCGAGTGAGGTATATGATACCTGTAACTCAGGGTAAGGTGTTCTTTGTTTTTTTTTTTGCCGTGGAGAGAAAACGAGGCTGGTGGGGCTTTGGTGTGCCAAATTGGCAGGAATTAGTCATGCGGTATCATGTCAGTTTTGGTGTGATATCATGTGCTCTCTCACCGTGCCGGTGACTTACAAGTATGATACGATATCATTCTCCATGTATGGTGCATGACGCTTAGACTATACAGTACAAGTACCAAAGGCCGATGCAACGGGGGACGCTTTAGGGTTTGGGGTTCGATTTCTACGCAACTCTGAGGGCGTTAAGTTAGGTCTGAATTTTTGAAATACTATTTTATGTTATGATCCATCATCTGATATTAAATCCCTATTTAACCTGTCAAGTTCCAGGTAATAGTATATTAAATATAGTAATCTATCATACAAAATGTTCAACAAGATCTTTTTATAAACATAGCTTTAATATTTTTGCTCATTATCTTTAATACCTGCAGACCTAATATATAATTGATAGGTCTCATTCTGGAGAGATATATGCATCAGAAAGTTACAAAAGCCTTGTCTCAAAGCAGTATAAATCTTACTAGTGAGTACTGAAAATTTGATATTCTCTTATAGAAATTTTGTTTCCTAATTTTCTCTATAGTTGTTTTGAAATTTCTTCTTAAGTTTAGTTCATAAGCTGTATTGGGAAGTAAATCAGGAAGCATAATAAATACAATTTCCTAAAATATCTTACATCATGCCAAACATGCCATATCTCATGAAATAAAATGTCATAAAGCTCTAAGAGTTCAGACGCAAAGCCCCCGGAGTCGTGCAAAAATCAAACCCCAAAGCATCCCCCGTTGCATCGGCCTTGGTGCTGTGTATAAGCGGCATGCGCCATATCATAACTTTACTGGTATGATACTCTATTATACCAATGTTGCAAGGCTTACAGCTACAACGGTGCATTCAAAATTTCACAAAGGATCAAGCCAACTCGTAAACTATTCACATGCATCTCGGAAAATATCGTAGAGTACAAAGAAACGGACAGGCAAACGTCAGAAGCCATCGTATCGCATCCTCTAGGCGGGCCAGAAATCCACTCTATAGGAGGACATACAAAAGTAAGAGGAAAAGGGAAGGGAAGAGAAAACATAGCAAATCATTGACTTCGTCCCCTTGACTCATCATCCCCGGACATGTCCCCCACAGGATTCTCGAGATTTGCGAAAGAGAAAGGGGAAAAGAAGAAAAAATTAATCTTGGTCAGTGCAATTATAAAGATAAAGTGGTAATCCCTTTTTTGTGCATTCCAAGGAGGGGTGAAAGGTGGGAAGGAAGGGCTATCGGAACCTAACGAACCGTATGATGAGAGAAAACTAGGGGGAAAAAAAAACGACAGCTCCTCTTTCCCCTGGTTGGGGCCGATTTAAATCGTAGGAGGTCGAAAGGAAAAATTCATGAGGAAATGAAGTTGATAAGAAGGATGCACACATATCGCTTCAGACCCTGTTTGGTGGAAGAGTGGCCCATCCTTGAAAATTCATAAGACCGGATTGCTTCAGGACCCACAAACTCATAAAGCCCACAATGCCCCCGTATCCGGCAATCCTCAAGAGCCGGACAGCCTTCCGTCGGATATTCTCATTGAGAGCTAGGAGGCCGAGTGGATCTCTAGCATTAACCATTCCATCCTGCGTATCCGCAGCCGCGGTATACTTGTTGGCTAAGGCCGTTGATGCGGGTACCAGTTGGCCGTCGGCAATGCACTCTCCCAATCTCTCGGTGAGCCAAATAGCACGTTCCCCTCTCGCCAATCGCTCGTAGCGTTCTCGCTCGGCTTTAAGGCTACGCTGCAGATCATGGGCCCATCGGGTAAGCCGTACCTGGGCAAGCCTCTCCTCCCGCTGGGTATGGTCTGCAACTCTTGCCAGCGCAAAGCTATTCGCTGCTACCTGTGCACCTGAATCGGGAATATGGATTAGACTAGAATTACTCGCAGAAAGCAACGCGGAGGCCGATGTACTCCTCATAGATCCTGGTGAGCCAGGGGTGGAATTGAAGCGTGTCAGAGACGACGAATGGTTTGATGCGGCAACGCTATTAGACCACTGAATGTACTTCTTCGCGGACGCATGTCTCAGCCAAGCGATATTATCTGGGTCAAACACGTGGTTGACCAGCTCAGAAAGATCGGAGCCGACCAAGGGTGCTACGTAGTCCGGGGACATGAGCAAACTGGCCTCCATATTCTCCGAGTCGCTCGAAAGGGCCGATGATATAGCGAAAGGTGCGCAAGGCATGTTTTCAGACATGCTCCTCGAAACATCAGGCAACGTCTTTCCAAAGAGAAACGGACGTACTCCCGCACCGCGAAGGTCATTCAATATTGACAGCTTAAGGTTCTGAACTTGTTGGGGTGTCAATGTATCTGCTTTCGCGATAATGGGCAAAACATTCGTGAAGGGTGAAAGGCGGCGGATGAAATCGATATCCACAGGTTTAACCCCTAGAGGAGCACAGAATTAGCAGCTGTCGGCCTGTGTATATCGGAGGGCTCTTACGGTGAAGGATGGCATAAAACACAATATCAACCTGCGGGGTTCCATCGCCCGAAAGCAGGGGAAGCAGGTCTCCACTGTTGCCACTCACAATGGCACGTGTGCGCTCTAGCTGGCCTTCAACATATCTGACTACAGGCTCGACACATTCAAGAAACTATAAATAACCAGGTCAGCTCACGAGCGCAGCCGATGGGACATAGGGGACGAGAATTTCAGTAACAAAAAAGCTTCGTACAGATGTACCAACACCATATCCCGGCGTGTCTACGAAGCAAAGGTTTCTCTCAATAACTTGATCATCTATTCCAGGCTTTGACCTTCTTTTCCTAAGTAGCCTGCTGTCATCAAGCTCCGACCACCAATGTGGATAAGGCCGAGTGCTCGCGTAAACTTCTGTAATATCTTTGGTGCTATCTCCGTTAGGACGACTGTTGATTGCGTAGTATGAGGATCCAGCACGAGCTCCTGTTTGGCAGCTATTGGAGGATATGGGGTCGACGTGTACGATATCTTCACAAGCTTGGACGATGGATTTGATTAAAGAAGTTTTGCCAATACCTTGATATACTCAGTTAGCTACCCCCCCATGATACCAAGGCGGAGGAAATACCACCTACCAGAATCACCGGCAATCAGAACCTTCAACTTGCCTACTCTCTTCCCCTTATCAGTGAAAGGTCTTCTGCTCGGTATTGTAATCTCGGGCATAATAAGCTGTGGAGCATCAGGGGCCTCCCGTGACAGCTCCTTCGTAGAGGTGAAGCTCGGCCTCCTCCTAGCAGGGGATTCCGCGCCCTGCTCACTATGCATGTCCTCAGATCGGTAAGAAACACCAGAAGCGCTACGCGGAGACTCGGGATCCGACTGGGGGCCCATGATGGGTGTTAGGGGCACAGAAAGAAGTCCGTGTGGTGAGCGAAACTCGGGGTGGACCGAGGACCGAAACGAAGCTACCGAACGTTCGTCGAGCCCGCGGTCCTCCTCCGCGTCCTCGTCTTCATCTGCCTCGTCATCCTCATCGTTGTTGACATCCACCCCTTCCCCGCTCTCAGTGTAAGAACCTCTAGAGTGCTCCGCAAGCGACGACCGCTTCCCAGGGCGTAGATCCGACTCCTCCACGGAAGCGGCCAAACCCCTAACACCAAAGCCCGAGCTGGCTGACCCACTGGCTGTGGAAGCGGCGACTGTAGCCTCGTCGGCGAAAAAGTAAGTTATGGGAGCGGATAGATGGGTTTGATGATGTTCTTCTCCGGGTGTATTGGTGCCAGATATTCCAGGAGGGATCGGGTGTTGTTGACCTGCAGCAGACGACTTTCTCGATCTGCCGTCTACAAGGCCCGTGTGCATGGCTTCGGAGGAGGTAGGCCTCATAACTATCGACTCTCTGGGGCCGCAGGGTGGAGGTGTTGGGAACGGTAAGAGTGGTGGTATTGTGCTGCAAGGGGGAACCGTCCGGTGATAGCGGGGTACAAGTACTAGGTAACTGGTGCGGTGGCAGGAGGCTGAACTTGATCACAACGCCGGAACAGCTATGATACTACGGGAGCGAGTTTATTCAGCTCTGGTGCCGGTCAGCGAAGAGTCGAAGATAAAATATCTTGTTTCGAGTTGTTACCAAGAGGTGGTGGAGGTGGTTGTTTCGAGGAAGCCCCAACTTACGAGGGGGTACCGGTATTGTTGAGGGGTTCATTACATAGGGGAATTCAAGGATAGACCAGAGGTACAGCACTTGTACAGTATCATACGTAGGTCGCGCGGTGCGAGCAACTTTGCGAGCCCGCCAAGGAAGTGCTTGCTGCATGCCAAGCTAGCAATAAGCTGAGGACGCATTCAATTACCGCTATCTGGTCCCCCGATGAACCCCGAAGAAACCTCTGGGCCAGACCCCCGTCAATACAAGCAAGCATAAGTTCTACCGGCCCTCGTACAGTGCTCGTGCAGCACAGTGGAAGGGGCTGCTATGGTAGAAATTAATAGAATAGAGAAGGAAGGGGGGGGGGAACCCGGTGGCCTCACAATCACTCCCTGCACCAAAGAAACCGCACCAGCCTTAAATCGAATTCAGTTTTCCCGGATTCACTGTAAAGAAAATGTGAGTGTGATTTGTACGAGATGGCAAGATCCAGGGTTTTCCGGTAATATGTCTGTTTCCACTACCACCACCATCGTGTCGTACGGTGAGTTAGTGGACGGTCGACCATCCGATGGTTCTACTGGTAGAAGAGCATCGATCCAAGTCACTACACACTGCACAACCACTGGCTCATCGCACATGGCTTTTTATTCTTATTTTTATTCTTATCCAAAGTATAATATTGTAGGTCATCTCTGGCGTTCGATCCGATTGGGCGTTTAGGAGAAAGCCCCTTCCCCTATATAGCACTATAAGGCCGTCGGGACTGTTTTGCTTGTATCATCATGCGCTCCAACTTGAATAACTAAGTTATGGTACACCTGCGTTGAAGCACGACACGAGTATGGTACTATGGTAGACTTCCTATTGCGATGAACTACATGATAAGAGCTCATCCGGGAAACCCCAAATCGACCATAGGCGAGTGGTGAGGGGTGAACCTCCCAGAATCGAAACACCGAGAGAACAACCGGACCATGCATTTTTTCCACACAATGGAAGAATAAAAAGTAAACAAATAAATAAAAGGATAAGAAGGAAGATATAAGAGAAAATGTAAGCCGGGGTAGGGAGCAAAATCGGGGCGATTGGGAACACAAGCGAAAGCAGTTTTGATGTGGGAACGGAGGGCACGAGCTATAAAAGGCAGAAAATATGATGAAAAGGCTTCAAACGCACGTATAGTAAAAATGCAAGTATGGATAGAGGAGGCGAGGAGGCCGAATTGAAAGTGGACAGCAGATATAAGAACAATAACAATCATTACTTTTCCATTTCCCATTTTCCCGATAACAGCAGATAGAAATCATAATTCCCCCCACTTTCTTCTTCTTTCACCTCATCAACGATAATCCCAGAAAACTCGTTACCCATTTCCAAGGACCCATTCCCCAGTTATGCAAACCCCGCATCTGAAAACCCCAAGAGTAAAAACGAAGAGAGAAGAACTGGGAATTTACGCTCCTGATCGTGATAAAGTACGGAGGTAAAGAAAATACAATGACATAGTATAGCCTGGATGAATTGGTTCCAGACTAATGAGATAATGAGGTAAGAATGGACAGCGAAACTAAACCGAGAAATACGAAAATCGTGAAATGAATCATGGTAACAGAAACTATGCCCACTCCAGGGTAAAAAAAAAAAGGAAAAAGGAGGGAAAAGAAAGCGGACAAAAGAGAGTATAGAAATAAAATATTAGCAGAAATAGAGAACCTAGGATCCAAACGTTCGATGTTAGCTGTCACTGCGAAAGGATCCAAAGAGTGCGGATCCTTGTAAGAAAGCTAAGATCCAACAAGACACCAAATCCCTAGACACGAATATCAGCAACCTCGTCAGTGGTCCAAGGGGATAGAAAAAAACATACTTTGCTCCCACTATCAAAGAAACAAAGAACTTTTAGCTTGAGGTAGTGGGGGTGCTGCTTCCTGGTCTACCGGTAGCACCTCGTGTCTGATTGTAGTTACCTCTAGCACCACCTCTAGACCCTCTTCCCTCACTTCTTGCACCGTCACGTGACGAGAATCCACGACCCTGCCCTCCTGTGCGCGAGTCTCTGTTGCCAAAAGGACCACGGCCTCCTGAATACCCAGAGCCAGAAGGAGGGCCACGAGGGCGACGCTCCTCAACATAGATATTAGCATCACCAATCTTGTGAGGATTGCTGGCATTGGCAGCGGTAAATCCAGCCGATGTCTCGAATTCAACAAAAGCACAATTCTGGGGACGAAATCAGTCACCTGCCCAAGATAAAACGAGGAAAAAAAAAAAGAGATCTTCACCTTTGCTCTATTGACCTCAAAGCGCTCCAACCCTCCGAATTTAGTCAAAGCATCCTCCAACGCCCGATCCGAAACGCCTTCGGTGACATTCCTGACGTATGCAGATGTTTGGCCGGCAGAAGTACCGGTCGATGTAAATGGTGGCCTAGAATGACGCTTGCTCTCTGTGATGTGCCACTGGGAGCCACCGCGAGGAGTCGTTGGGGTGCTTGGGGTTGCACTCGAAGCAGTAGTCGAAGTAGCAGGGGTGGCAGAATTTTGAGCCTGAGGCGGTTGTGTCTGCTGGACCTGTTGGACTTGTGGAGGTGTAATAGACTGGGGGACAGCCGGCGGTGCACCAGGGGTTGCCGATTTGGCGATAATACTAGCCCAAGTTGTTGGTTTCGGAGGGCCAGTTGGGACTGGAGGAGCAAGTGGAACGGGTGTAATTGCCCTACGTTCGGGTTCTTTTTCTAGAGCCGGGGCTGGCTTTATCTCCTCAATGACCGGAGGTGCGGGCTCCTCGGAAACTACCTCTGCTGGAGGAACAGCGGGCTCTTCAGCCTCCGGCTCCGGTTCTGGCTCGGGATCCGGCTGAACTTCAGCCTCGGGTTCTTCTGCTGGCGCTTCAATCGAAGAACCATTAGCGCCCCCATTGATTGGGGGCGGGAGTCCCTGAGCCCCTGGAATTGGCAAAGCCGGTTCGATCGTGGTTATCTCCTCAAGAGCAACCTTGTTTTCCTGAACCTCAAGCTCGGTCGTCGCGGTTTCCTTCAAACCCAGGTCCTCTATCGCTTCGATAACCTCTTCAGTAATAGCCTCTGCGACCTCGGCTACTTCAGCAACTTCTTCGGCCATATGCTCATCGTATTCGCCTCCCTCGGTGTCTTCATCATCCTTCAAGTAACGGAATATATCATTCAGAACATAGTACCCATTGGGTTGCTTGGCGAGGAAAAAAGTCTGCGAGAATTTGCGATTCGGGAGACCGTTGTTGCTCATCTCGCCAAGAACTTGGATCACAATTCCGTCATCGGCCGATGACTGAGCGTCCACATTCGAAACACGGACCTTGCAGTCCTTAAATTCGTAAGAGGCGATCTTATCTTGAATGGCCTGAGAGCCTTATTAGCCTCCAACAGGACAGAACACATGACTCAAAGGCCGGCATGGAGAAAACGTACACTACGGCCATGAGCAAGCTGGAGGTTTTCACCCTCAGTTCCCCAAACAAACGAAGAGGTCTTGTTGTAAAAGAGCTACGCGCAAAGAGTTAGCAACATCAGTTCCATCCGGCTCGGGGAGTGATATAAACAAACTCACGTGAAGACGCTCGGGAGTCTTGTTTAGGGTGGTATAATATTGCTCAACGAAATACCAGCCAACTTCGTCCTTAGGAACATCGGAATTGCCAGTATTGCTCTCGGAATGCTGAGAAGCAGTTTGGCCCTGGTATCCACCTGTAGAGGAGGCGGGAGTCTGGTTAGTCGAAAAAGACTGAGGGTCAACTTGCTGGGGGCAACTACCGTTGGTGGGGGCAGCCGGGGGTTGGGGGGATGCCATAATTGGTGTTATGAAGGTGTCCTAACTTTGAAAAGAAGAGATGAGGGGCGGGGAGATATCGGAAACAACTATACAAGTATCTGCGGTTGCAAACTGGTAAGTGACGAGGGGACACTCTCTGGAAGGGCGGCCCGACGATAAATGTCTCCGGGGGAGTTATCGATCAACAGTGTAACGAGAATGTGGGGTATGGTGGAGTGCAGGAAGCGGTGGATGTCCGTGCTTAGCGGGAGTATCTAGGAAAGAGGAAAAGTACAGAAGGAAAAATGGAAGACAGAAAATAGAATTAGAGGCGCAGTGAGCGAGAATTGAATTGTAAGGAAATGGTGGTGAAGTTAGGGTGAGGGTGGCAGAGAGGATGTGAGCGTCGATGAAAATATTTGATAGAGGGGGAGCGTTGTGTGTTGACGAGAGGACGAGGGGTGGTGGTGGGAAAGAGGTTGGTTGTGGGAGTTGGTAGTTGTTGTGTAGTGGACGGGAGAAAGAAAAAAAAAAAAAAAAAAAAAAAGTGCCCAGGTCAAGGCAGGGAGGGCAGGACCGAACGGGGAAAAAAGTTGAGCCACAGGATGACCGAAAAAATCGGTGTCAGTTGCACAGGTTTCCGAAAAAATAATTAAAAAGCAGCAGGAAACGCTCCTGCTGATTGCAAACCTCCGATAGGAGTTTCGAATGGAACTTGGGAAGACAAAAAATACAAGTTTGAGCTTCGTGACTTTCATTATATCCTGCTAGCTGAAAGCTCACCCACAAACCGAGCCACTGCTTGCTACGGTGCATCCTCTCGCTCTGCTCTCGGCGTCCCACAGATAAATATGGGCCAATGACGTCCGGAGGAAATCGGCCAACCTTTAGGGCAGTGTGTGCCATGGTTATTTCCAGCGCAGTCGCAGTTTGGGTGTTCCGGCGCAGTGAATTTGCAATGTGGTGGGATCGGACGACTCAACTTAGCACTTCCATCTCCAAATAAGGCGACAGAGACGGAAAGAGAGAGGAAGAGATCGTTCTATGCGTCCAATCACGCTGGCTACATCGCACCGAACGTGCCCTGCATTTTAATTATTGCAGATACTGTGGCCAAGGAGCGTAGTCAATGATATCCCCCGTCAATTCTCTTCTACGGCTCGCAAAAGATACCTGGGGCGTCACGGGTGACCACAACATCTACAAGCAAGAGACTTGAGCGGTGCCAGCAGAGAACGGGGGGAATATGGGAGGCAGTATGCACGGAGTCACGAGTTTTGTGTTATCTGCACAGCAGAAAAACATGCCTTAACCGTACGGTGGATCGTGTTACAATAATACCAACTGGTAGTCCCTTTTCCTCTTTGGATGATGACGTTCCGGGGCAGCCTGTCGTCAGATACAATCACAATGTTGGAGGCCTAAGTTGAATTCGACGGATCCGATCCTTTCTTGGCGAAGGGTTTGTTCCCAAGCCGGGCCGGATTTTCCGTCCTCATTTCCTCAATAAAAAAGGCTCTTGGATGGCCCGACTAGGTCATTGGGATCTGCTACCGGTAGACTTACTAGACTATGCATTCTTTTCACTTTCGCCTTGCCGAGGTGGTTGTCTTGTGCAGTCGCAGGTCAGAGCCGGGTATCGGTATCGTGCGGGAACGTGGGAACGGTGAGTTTGCCACCCTTGTTCCCACCATGGGCAACCCGCCAATCGCGAAGACTAGGCTCTCCATCATCTGTCTCAGAAGCCATAGAATCAAATTCAATCAACGGCAAATTGGGGATATGAGTTGCGGCTTGCGTGTGGGAATGAATCTCGGTGATGGTGCGGATAGGAGTGACAGGCTCACCTTTCTCACCTTCTCACACTTCGCACCATCCTGTCCCCTTCATGGTACTTGTTGTAGCCTACACAGATGCCTGAAGCTGGCCTTTAATTCTACGCCAGACACAAGGCCAGCATAGAGTTGACAATCAAATTCCCGGGACAGTATTTCCTTCTATGAATGTAGGCGACGCAGCGGAAAGTACTGTGCTCGTGTCGAGGCTAATCTGTCAAAAGGTCTGAAAGCAATACCTTCGTTCATGCAATACCAAGTAACCTGCAAATCACCAGCGCCGCATTTGCAATAGCTGAATATTGGAACTAGATGCACAGCCAAAAAAAATCAAAAATAATAATCGTATAGTAGTAAGCAGTATGATATCAAGAAAACTGAATGACAAAGTGCGAGTTCCGAGCGCCCAGCAATACCCACTAAAATTAAGAAAGACAATATTTCATCGAGACAAAGATAGATAATGAGAGCCCATGCCCAATAGCCCCTCCGTTCGGCAATGGAGGAACCCCCTATATATAACAGATGCAGCCCCTAATAAGAAAAATAGCCTCAACCTAACCACAGGAATAGATCTGCAGTGGATACTGGCCGATGACACCGCATTCGTCCGAGGCTGCCTCCAAAGAGTGCAGAAGTATCCCGCTGGTTGATGTACACCAAATCATAACTCGTAAATAGACGAACCGCCTGTCATACACAAAGTGAACCGCCTCGTCCACATTCCGCTCCCACTCGAGTAGTTAGCCAGTCTTTGCTCGCGGCCTCCGTACGGCATCCTGCTTGTCCATTCTCCACCGCAAAGCCCTCTCCAGCTTTGCGCTCAAAGCTAACTTGGAGATCAACTCGCTCTTCTTCTCGCTCGGGACGAACCTCTGGCTCATGTACCGTCGGTCCTCAAGTCTTCGCAAGCCGTCTTCGATCTCGATGAAAACAGCCTTCTCGGAGGTTGGGATGATAGAAGGGTTTGAAGAGATGGCGGTATATGACGAGAAACGATGGGTATCCCTTCGAGACTAAACGTAATACTAAAGTTAGCAAGTGGATTCACGCGAAGGGAAACGTCGTCAGACGCAGCCAAGGCGACAGGAGTAAACTGAAACCAAGAGAGAATCAGAAAACTCACAATCATTGGGCTGGATGAATCGAGTGAGTGAGGCATCTTTTTTTTTCTTTTCGAGAACGAAGAACGAATACCGGTCAGGCCTTCCTTATTGCTAGCAATACAGATATTCACTTTGCGATTGGTTTTTTTTTTCTTTCCTGAGATGCTGAGGGCGCTCGGAGAAGACGGAGGCGGGGGGAGAACGGTTCTTTAAAGCAATAGGGGGGAAAGAGATTCGAACGGGTGTGGCAGTGTCTCGTCGAATGATGACGGCGTTTAAAAAAAGAAGTGAAACAATGTCGGTGCTAGTACACCCCGGAGACGGGATGGATGGATGGGTCCAAAGTGGAATAGGACCTGTTGCTTATAATGTGTTGCTGTTTGTTGGGTATCGTGGGTAGGGCAGTTGGATTCACTACGGGAGTGGGCAATACAAAGGGGGGTTGGTTGGGTGGTGTAGGAAGGAGAAAAGCGGTTTGTTCTCTGAATCTGTAGATTGGAGGGGGGGAGAGGGGCACAGGCTGAGGAGAGTCCAGGGAAACCGCAGGAAAACGTGGAGAGGGCGAAGTTATATTTATTTATTTCCTCACTGGGCTGGGTTGCCTTTGCAGTTCAAGGAAGCATTATCTGATGCTCCGCTATCAAGGGTCAGGAGGTGATTTGTCCCTCCTTCCCACCCACCCCAAACTTGGTGTCGGGGAAAACGTGGCAAAATAGGCAACCCACCCCCATCCCTTGACATTTCCCGAACCACACCAGTTTCCCAAGGGCTCCACCCCCCACGCTGGTCCACTCACTCCCCGAGTGCTCGAGTACCGTATTCTCCATTCAACTTTCACTTGGGACCGTATCCAGGAGCATTAGCGCTTGGAAGCATCGAAACATCGCCCTGCCCTTGCCTGATCATGGAGTGATCTGCATCCGTATGGCCCAAGGCTTTTTTGGGGGGCAAATATTGGTGATGCTGTGCGCTTTTGAACAAATAATAACCTTTGTAGATAATGCCGCGAAGGTGGATTTTACCCCCTAAATAATATCGTCATTATTACCATCAAAGGCACGACCCGTTAAACCGCGGTACTTGCAGCCCAGAAATGGAAATTATCCTCTGGCAAAGCGAATTACTGCTGTACCGTACTCGTACGAGCACAAGCACCACTACCGTAGTTTTCATTCTCTGAAAGGGCTCGAAGATTTGTCTACCCATTATGCAACCACTGCATCCTACGGACAAAAATACCGTTGACACACCATACGATATATCATGCAAAGTAAGGATGCCGGTACGGTGCTAGCATCCTACAACCCTATGGCATGGAGGCTGTGGATGGATGGGAGGACCGGATCAAACCCAACCTAACGATCTCTTTTCGGAGATGGACCGGGCTTAGATCTTCTACTGACCTGTCTAAAACGCTTAGAATTCGAACCGCAATATAGAAATCAGATCCGAAGAATACCGTACGGTAGGGAAAACCCCCTATTACTCGAGTAGCGTATCATGAGAGAAGGAAAAAAAGAAAAGAAAAAAAGGGAAAAGCAAAGAAAAGAAGGGAGAAAAAAAGGCGCTTGTGAAGGGGTGAAGTGAAGTTACAACATCAAATGCATCGGCATCGGGGCGCCAAGATCGTGCAAAGAGGAAATTCTCAGCGAAAAGGAACTCTGACATCTATCTCTGGTCCGGTGAGATTTTAGACATGCCAACCGTTTCCTCTCAATTTCTTGGGCTCGTGGAGACTGCACTTTCGATTGGATTCCAGAGAGTGGTTCCCATACGAGAGCCGTACCGGTACTAACAATAACGGTTCTCAGTTAATATAATACCCATAGTACTCGACGGGGTAAGACATCACGTAAAACGTTGAAAGACGTATCAAGTTAATAAACAGTGCACCACCACCATTGCACACCCCCAAACGAATGAACCAACGTTTCGGAGGAAAGCGGGGGGAATCGGAGACCGCCAGCCGGGCCTGGTTATTTTTAAGAACAAAAAGGAATAAAAAACAATGGTGAGCCATGTGGCCTCATGATAGCCGAGCGCAGTACAGTAGCTCATCGTACAAGCACTAAACCGGACGGCTACGGCGCCGAGATTGGTGCCTCGATTACCGGTACCATAGAGCAGACGCCCAAGTGAATCGCACCGCAACTTGCGTGATGCCAGTGTTGCGCTCGTACTGTGTGCGGCAGAGTTGCGACTAGTTAATGACTGGGTAGGAGGGGAGTTACGGTATGTGTACTCGTACACGGACCGCGTTTCAATGGCAAAATTGATCCTTATCGTGTGGTGACTGTACGAATACTCGAACACTCCTGTGTGGGGGAAAGCAGGGAACAGCGGTGCTGTGTTGAGAGGGTAGAATATATTCACCACATCGCTATCCGCAAACCCCAGCAATGATAATCATAAACTCCCCGCCCTCTCGAGTGCAATGCCCGAAAATAGGAATTCGCAAAGTATGTCGAAAACATCTGAGTGCCCATTCTCGAGTACCGGTACTAGCACTTGAGCCTTGTACTTGTAGGAGAGCGCAGTGCGAGCACAAATTCACCACCCCTGTTTTGGGTACCTGGTACAGTACTCGGTACTGTACTTTGCGTCTCTGTCTACTCGGGTGCTCGAGCACTGCTATTTGATGTTGAAGTACGAGTACGAACAAGGCATCATTCCCCAACTTTCTTAGCCATATCTGTTACTGGTACGATGCTAGCGCCATGCCGGTACGGTACTCCTGTAACCGTAGCAAAAAGGGAAGAAAAGCAAAACAGAAAAGAGCAGAAGCCATGTTAATTTACAATAGACGAACCGTCAATGTTTTGCATAACCATCTCCCTTCTCCCAGATCTTCTTTCATCATTTCCATTCCAGAGGTAGAGTTGCAGTTACACAGCCCCGCCCCGCAACTTTATTCAAGCTTAACGATACCAGAATCGGAAAGGTTGGGCTGCAGTCCTCCTGCAGCTGTTTCTCACTCGAGAGTGGCGCAGTACCGGTACGAGAACTCGTACAGAACTTGACTTACATGCCAGACATACACGCGTGCTGTAACCGGTGTCTCCGAGCCAAAAATTGGCGCCCGTTTGTCATTTCCACGATGGGCGTGTGCCGGTACCGTACCGTAAGTAACTATTCCGGATGTTTGTGCCGGGAAGAAGGATGTTGGCGCTCCCCGCGTGTGTGTGTCGGTGTCTGTTCCAGTTCTTTTTCGATGATTGTGCTCGATTACCGTACTGTACTACCGTAAGACCGTTCTCATACTACGCTGGTACTGAAGTTTGGGATGAACGTTGAGGACAGGTGAGGTCGGTGCGGTTTTGTTTGGGTCGGCTGGGCTGTCATGGTGGCCCGGGGTATCATCAGAGAGTGGGAATGAAATGGGAATGTGAATACCGGTATGATGCTACACGAGTAAAAGAAAGAAAGAAGCTCTTGAAATCCATTTTATCGCCGTAGTGGGGGTTATTATCTGTTTGAACTCACGATAGGTTTAGTTCGACAGATTACGGTAACAGATTCCCGAGTACCGGTTAATGAGATCCAACGAAACAAACACTGGATCTTTAGACTTTTATGATACCGCCTTGGGAAAACCACTAATCCTTCTCAGGAGATTTTTGACTCGGAATCTGGTGATTTAATACAGGGCCGGCGGAGATAGTTGGATTTCAAAAGTATTTTTTACTGGTATTGTATATAGGAGAGTTCGGAATCTATGCCACCCAATTAGGGTACGGTACCGGGACTCGTACAATGGGGTAACTGTACCCCGCCCCTCCTCCTTACTGAGTCTCTGAAGGCTTGGTTTACTTTCCTCGTGTTTGGGCTCTTTTGCCCGTTCGTACTTGTAGTTGCATTTCCAAAGGTTTCACAAGATGCGGCACTCGTACAAGTATGGAACACAAGCAACTCTCTACAGTAGACACGGTAATCTAAACCTGTTACGCTTTTTCGCGGAATGTTTTCTTTTTCCGCCGGATTTGGCGGTAAGATGCGGTTTCTGGAGAGAGTTGAGAGGTTTTCATTTCGAGCGTGAGGCAAGTTCCTTTCCACATCTGCTGGGATATAGGTACTAGAGTACAGTACCGGTACAAAACCGCACTGTTGATGCTCTAGTATTGTGCGGTACGGTACAGTAAGCACTGTAATCGCTTCCCACTCTGGAGGCAACGCTAATTTCCCGGAAATTTTGGCGTTTCCCACCCCTAATTTAAACCCGCGTCGAGATTTCCGTCCGCATGCGACACTGCGAGGCTACTTTTGGAGTTGGCGAGAGGTCACTTGTGTCGTCGCAAAGTTCTACTCGTCGCCCGAAGGAAGTACCTGAAAACAGGGGTCGTAAAATACTGTTGGTGCAGGGGCATGAGACATGGAATGAGTGGTCTGTGTATAGTACATAGGTAAAAGTAGCCTGCTGCCTACTACAATGACCTGTGAATTGACTTCTCTGAACATCTTCCTACCTGCACCAAGTAATAGTAAGTAAAAAAAAAAGAAAAAGGAAAAACCTATATGTATCTCCTACAAATGAAGTTTTCATAACTAACTAGTAATACAGACTCAGACCATGCCTTACATTAAAACCCAGAAAACCTCCTACAAGCAAAGATACTATATTTAGGCACTGTAGTTTAGTACAGACTGAACCTATTAAAAAATTACTGAAGACCAAAATCTTAGGGGTTAATACAGTCTGAGCTATCAGTCAAGTACTAGTGATTCCAAAGAAGTGAAAAGACTAACCCTTTTCAATTAACTTGTCTACTTGAAGAACTATTATTACCACTATAACAAGTGACTCAATATACTACTAAATGACTTTTATTAATATTGTAAACATTTGTAGTGTATGATACAAGCTTATAACAAGACTTGGCAGAAAGCCTTCATTCTTAAAGGGTACTAGTACTGTAAAGCCTGTAAGAAGCTATTTCTGAATGATTTACAGAAGAAGAAATAGTTTTAGCTTATTCTTATCTATCGCTATTAGATTCTAGAAGACTGGTATTGGGTTATCTAGACTGATAAGTACTATATTTGAGTATAAGATACTTATA